TAGAGCTGAATTCAAAACCGAGATGGAGTTGACTATGCAGCAGATGCGAGATTTGCAGATTCAGCAACAACAACCGGAATCGAGCCAGAAGACAGAATCCAACCGGCGTAATGAAGAGGATGAGACTATCTTCGACGATCCTCCTCCAGATAAAGACAACTCCGGAAGCGGTCCGACCAAGTCATCCACTCAACCTCCACAGATCTACTTGAAGAAAAGTGAGGAAGAGGACAAGAAGATGCACGATCTTGAGAGCAAAGTCAACGCTCTGATGACAGCTCAAGAAGTGAAGAAAACGGGCATTCCATACCCGTACCCGAGGGAGTGGGACCTGATTCCTTATCCCCAGAAATTTAATTTGATTAACTTTACTCCTTTTGATGGCAGGGGTTCACCAACTCAGCACTTTATCTATTTCAAGTCACATCTCGGCGCAATATCCGGGAACGAAGCCCTGATGGTCCGGTCATTCGTAGGAACCCTTCGTGGGCCTGCCTTCGATTGGTACCGATGCCTTAAGCCCGGGAGTATCACTAGCTGGGAGGATATGGAAGAACTATTCCTCACCAATTTCTTCGATGATGACACAGAGGTCTCAATTGGCACGTTGTTGGATGAAAAGCAGAAGGATGGGGAATCGGTTGACGTCTTTGTCAAACGATTCCAGGACAAAGCGGTGAACTGCAGAGATCCACTCACAGAAGAGTTCATCCTACAGACATGTCACAACAACTTGTCATTGGATGTGTTAGAGGTGATGGGGGTTGTGCCCACTAAAACTTGGAAGGAATTGAAAGTGAGAGGTGAATAGGCTGAACGCTTTCTCAAGAGAAAGAATCTGGAGAGAGGTCTGCCACCAGCTAATAATCAAAAGCAGAACTTTAATCCTCAAGGCAGAGGAAGAGGGTCCGCGGCCGCTGTCGACGTACATCAAACATCACAACAGCCACCGCAACAACAACCGCAGCAGTCATCCTTCCAACTGGCGCCAAATCAAAATCAGCAGCCCCCTAGGCAGCCCAAGACTTCTGAGCCTAGATTTCCGAAGGAATACTCTTTCAAAGATGATGAAGTTCCAGTCATCTTCAAATACTTGTTAGAGAATAACAAGATCAAGCTTCCACCGGTCACAAACCAAGAAGAAGCAACGAAGACCAATGACCCGAAGTATTGTGCATATCACAGAAGGGTCCACCATCCTACTAAGACATGTTATGTCTTAAAGGATAAAATTCAAACATTAATTGATGTTGGTATTGTGACACCGAAGCCAAAGGAGAAGAAGGTAGGCGCAAACGCGGTCTCTATTAGTTTCGGATCGGTTCCTTTGTCCTGGTTTCAAGCTGAGCCAGTATCAAAGGTCAAGATGCAAATCATCAACGAAGGGGCTCGTATCTCACACAGCCCCCAACGGCGAAATCCTTTGGGTTCATCCGGATTTGCTTGAAGATGAACAGTGGACGACACCCACATCAAAGAAGAAGTCAAAAGGCAAGGGAAAGGAGAAGTCCTGCTATGGAGCCTCGGCGATTCCCGAGAAGAACGATGAGGATATAGCAGCTTTATCACTTTCTGATGGAGAACAGGAAGTTTTTGCTACAAGAAGTGGAAACGAGTACCATTATAGGTATCCGGAAACCTCAGATCCAAATGCCAAAACTCTTACGGAGCTGGGGGTAGCCATAACTCCACCAGTAGCAGCTGAAAAACCTCAGAAAGTTGTTAAGCAAAAGGAGAAAGAACCTCAACACAAAGAGGTCCAAGTTCCGAAGCAGTCTCGTTTTAGTAGACCGATTGGACGAGACAAACCGGAAAGCTCGAACGCACCATATCGTTTCGACGTTATGGCTCAGCTGGCTAATATCCCAGCAAGAATCACATTGTACGAGTTGTTGCGCCTCTCAAAAGAAACCAGAGAAGCTTTACAAGAAGCTTTGGCTGATTCTGAAGTATTCTTAACTCAGGTCAAGCCAGCTCCTGAAGAGCCAGAATCGTCAGTGCAGCATTGCAATCTGGCAGCCACCAAATTTCCTTGCATTGCTTTCACAAAAGAAGACATGCAAGTCAGGAATTCAAAGCATGATAGACCGTTATATTTTACTGGATATATCGGTTCGAGCATGGTTAACCGGATCCAAGTCGATCCGGGTTCCGCTGTTAGTATCATGCCACTTCGTTTGATGTACCACCTCGGAATTCCCGCCAGCAAGTTAGCCTCCACTGGAACGGTTATCTATGGTTTCAACACAAGCGGGTCACGACCGTTGGGAAAAATCCGGGTGAAGTGTCAACTCGGAGATCTGAAGTCTGAAGTCACCTGCTATGTGATCGATGCGGAGACTTCCTATAACTTACTGTTGGGTCGCCCATGGATCCACGGTAATCTTATAGTTCCCTCCACCCTCCATCAGTGTTTGAAATATGTCGACACTAATGAGGAGGTCAAGACGGTGGTCGCGGATAAGCAACCATTCAAGGGGTTAGAAAATTACTTTACTGACTCCCTTCTTTATGGTGCTGAGTCCGAAACTGAACCATCGGCCCATGGCACGGACAGCGGAGAAGAAGCTGATACCGAAGCCGGGCTCGATTATAGTGAAGGTCTTGTACTAAATGACATTGAACCTCTTGTAATCGATCTTGACGGTGATGAATCGTCGGACGAAAGTTGTAACTGGCAGCTTGCCGATGAAATAATAAATCATGATTTAGAGTACTCGCATTGTCTTGATGATGTAATGCAGAAATTGTACGACGACTCTAGTCTACATATGCCACTTCGTTCGTCTTGTACGGCGACGAAACACCTCCAAAGCTCATCTGGAACAACTATGATCCTACCCGCAAAGGCAGGGGGTGAAAAAGAGATAATCTTTGGAAAAGGGGAATCATCCCCCACTCCAGATCATTTCTTAGATAGTAATTCGGATGAAGAAAAACCCGGGCGACACTTCTCTCGGTATAGTTCTCAAGCGAATGATTATATGATGAGTCGAGGCTATGACCTTTCACTTGGTGAAGGCCTTTATTTTGGTCAAGGTATTAGGGTTCCACCCCGTTCTACCTATGTACCAAAAGGAAAACCAGATAATTACTACAGTCGTAATAGAGGTCTGGGTTATGATTCATCCGAAGACGATTATGGCCAACAAATCATTAACCAATTAATAGATAGGAGCGGACATTCATCCGACACTTCAAATTGGGATTCTGACGTGAGCATTGGTGAAAGATTCAAATCCCTAATGTCGAACATGGCGACGGTTGACCCTTCCACAACAGAAGAAGACGATCAGTTACCTGTTTGGGAAGATCCATGGATGCATTACATGAATATCCAATACGGTGATCGATTTGAGCAAAGAGAACCTCCTACCGAGGATAAAGTGGTTCAAGTTAATATGGGTGACGAAAATAATCCGAAGCCTATATTTATCAGCGGTGATCTCCCGCCAGACGAAAAAGAGGAATTAATTGCCCTCGTTAAAGAGTATATCGACGTTTTCGCATGGAACTACGAAGATATGCCAGGACTCGACCCAAATGTAGCAATGCATACCCTTAACATAAAATCGGATGCTAAACCTGTCAAGCAACAACAAAGACGGTTTCGTCCGCAAATTATGGAGGCAATAGAAGCTGAAGTTAAGAAGCTAATTGACTCGGGTTTTGTCAGAGAGGAACAACATCCTGAATGGTTGGCCAATATCGTTCCAGTCCTCAAAAAGAACGGAAAAATCAGAATCTGTATTGACTTCAGAGATCTGAATACAGCATGCCCCAAGGATGATTTTCCCCTACCGATTACGGACGTCATTATCGACAACACATGCGGGTTTGAAAGAATGTCGTTCATGGATGGATTTTCTGGGTATAATCAAATCAAGATGCATCCGGATGATGAAAAGCATACAGCTTTCAGAACACCTCTTGGCGTCTTTTGTTATACCGTTATGCCTTTCGGTTTGAAGAACGCCGGTGCTACGTATCAACGGGCGATGACGAAGATCTTTCAAGAACACCTTAGGAAGACAGTCGAATGCTACGTTGATGACCTAGTCGTTAAGAGTCGTGATAAAAATGACCACATTAACGATCTAAAGACAATGTTCGAGCTTATGAGAACTCATCAGCTGAAAATGAACCCGACTAAATCCTTCCTGGGAATGTCGAGCGGCAAATTTCTTGGATTCGTCGTCACCACAAAAGGTATTCATATTGATCCTGATAAGGTGAAGGCGATAAACGAACTGCAGCCTCCAAGAAATCTTAAAGAACTCAGAGGATTGCAAGGTCGATTAGCATATATCCGTCGGTTTATATCGAACTTGTCCGGAAAATGTCAACCGTTTTCCAAACTCGCAAAGAAAGGCGTGTCGTTCATTTGGGATGAAGCATGTCAGAAGGCATTCGAAGATATCAAGAAATATCTAGCGAATCCACCTATTCTCGTTGCACCGAAATCGGGCATTTACTTCATTTTTTTGAGTTGAATAATTTGATATATGCACTGAGTTTTCCCCCCGTATGTTCTGTTAAATGGACCGTTAACAGTTTAATCACTAATTTCCTCTTTCAGAATTTTTTAAAAATGTTCCCACATTAAAAGCAGTTAAAAACATGAGGATATATTATTACATCATAACAATTGATTTTATCACCATGATTGATACAAATAGACCTTCAATGAACCATATTCTTTAAGGATTCTCACTTTCAAGAAAATTGTCATACTAGATGTTTCTCACTTTGCATTCAGCTACATAAATTTTTGATGGAAAAAGAAAAACTAATACGTTAGAATTGTTTTGCTTCTGCTTGCTTTTTATGTGAAAGGCCTGAAAATTTAGTATATAGAAATTGAGAGCAGTTCATAAATGAAGTAAAAATGCTAGCTTGGTTTTTGTTGTGAATCTGTACCGCAAGGTATCGCACGCTTTGATCTTATTTTTTAATACTTGTATCTTGATTCTCAATTGTGTTCAAATATCATAATATCATTTCATTTATTGGGTCGTTTTTTCAAGCGTCAAATGCTAGCCGTGTTAATGTTCAATTAGGAGGTTACATGATTCAGTTTGGATGAAGGCGTTCATAATTCAGATACTCTTTTTATTTTTTTTCCTACATACTTCAAATTTTCTGCATGGTGTATTATTACAGTCTGCACTATCCATAGAAATATATATGGCAAGAAATTAATTAATGTAGATGTGCTGTGCGTATTTCCCACTCATATCTTGTATAGTTTTTTGCTCTTTCGTTGTTTTATTTTTAAATGAAAACTTTTTACCAGGCTTTTTCACATGAAAGGTTGGTTTTGTTAGTACTAAACTTTGCGGTATGAAATAAAGTTTAAAAGAATTCATAGTTTGATTAACAATAGCACGGTAGATGTCATTAAACAAAAGCACAATAGATTGTTGCATGCATGCATGATGTTTATGTTGGAATGAGTGCATTAGAAAATTTTTTTTTGTCTCCGAGTCCTCTTTTGCTCAAAGGTTCCACATGGACTCTTTTAATAAGTTAAGATTAAGATCCTTGCTAGACTATGATTTTCTACAAGAATATTTTTACTTCTTCATGTGATATAAAACTCTGAAAACAATTTGTTTCACATCTGTATCAGAATTTGGTTCTCTTCACTCCATTAGACACTTCAATTATAATATTTGTATTTACTTAAAACAACTGTGTTATTTACTAAGTGATAAATAAAAAACTACAGTGATTCACGGAAGATGATAGTATTAGTTAAATTTAAAATGAACTATATGAAAGTGTTGCTGACGCTCACGAAGAATTGCATATTATGAGACTAATTTGCTAATCTGATCCTTGCCTGCAAGCTCATGTTCATAACCCAACCTTGCCCTTTGTTATACCAAGCATATTATGAGACTTATCAATAATTTTAAGAGTAAGAAACAGTCACCAAAGAGTATATGCACATGTGTACCCCAGTCACCAACATGGTTCCGTCGTAGAACATCAAGTTTATAGAATTTCAGCATTCGAGCTAAAGTGTCTCCAATTATAGTTGACCTTAAATGACCAACATGCATTTCTTTTGCAATAATAGGTGAAGAAAAGTCAACCACCGCCCTTTTAACTGATAAAAGTGGTGCCCTTGTCTAGATACCATTCAATAGCATATTTTGAATATACTACACAATAAACCATAATGAAATTAGAGTAGAATTAGAAAAAGAATGTGCGCGTTCCAGTTTATATATAATAAAAAATAAAGTGCTTGTAATCCTCGTAAAACACAACCTGAGCCACCCATGTGCTTGACAGAACTACATTCACAAAACCTGGTCCTGCAACAAATGTAGACTCAATGATATCTGATGAAGGGAGATTTCTTGCAATAGCCTGCAATATATATACATCTTATTGAGAAATAATAATATATATAATTACAAGAGTAAACATTTGATTAATGCCTGAGCAAACAAAACCATAATATATCCCAAATATTTATGCACAAACTATGTTGTACAGTAACCAAACCTGACCAACATAATTTTGGTTTCTATAGTCTGTGGACTTTCCATTGATCTTGGAAAACAAGATCATTGCATTATTTTTGCGTAACACATAATGATACATCTTTTAGTGCGAGAAAGTAACTAAAATAAATCAAATCACACCAAACTTTTTATAGAAAGTCTCCATGTGCTATTTGCACAGCTCGAGGGCTACCCTCTATAATTCACTACATGCAATTATGCGCTCAAAACTGCAAATATAGCCAAGTCAAGCAGGAAATATTTACATAAGATGCCTAATATGATTTACAAACAAACTAACATCAAATCAAGTAACCACATCTCAGCATGGTATCTTAAGCATTAATAATAAAGTACATGGGATCAAAGAAATTGAGCAAGGTTTTTAGAGAATAATTTATGGTATGTCATGATTAATTTTTAAATTTTGATTTAGATTTTTATTTTGGAAATTCTTAGATTGTTCAAACACTTGCTATGCTATTAGGATTAATGTTGAGAAACCGTAGCTTATAATTTGTAACTTCACAAAAAAAGAATTTTTAATATCATTATTTAAGGTGGTTTCATTAACTTCTTGCTTATTCAAACACTGGCGTCGAAATATATGTTGAATTATTTTTTTAGGACATTCTAATGTGTGCTACACAAAAGGTTATTCTTACATAAATGACAATATACGGCCAATATATAATGAATCTAAAAAATAAATTAAAAGAAAAACTCTAATTTATTTAAAATTTATTTTAGAAGTCTAAACTTTTTGACATATAAGTGTGAAATTTATTATTGCTAAAAAAGATCTGATTAACCAGTTGATAGTTGATAATGTTTTATGAAAACATTTCTTGTTCATTTTCCTTTCAAAAAAGAAGACATATAAATAGGAAAAAGACAAAGTTATAAGCTTAGATAAGGGGGTTGCATTTAACTAGCCATAATATAGAGTGATTTCATATTTTCCTTCAAAGAAATTGGAGAGCAACAAGGGAAGTCTTAGCATAAATAACTATAACTATTACCCGTCGTACTGTAGGAAACATAAAATCATCATGCCTGAAAAATTGGAAATTGAACTGATGGCGGAACTCATAAATACAGTATTTTCCTGCCAATCTAACAAACAAATGCTTGAATATGAAGTTTAAAGCATCTTCAACTAAATGTGTTCCATACTCTAGCATTTCACACAACATTAAAAAGACCTTCCATCTTTCTTGACTACTCAAATACCCATCATCTGGATGCAATACCTCTCCAACTCACAAGAACTTTGCTTCTTCTTCAGCCCACATGTCTCTCTTTGTGATGTAAGCCTGTGATGACGTTCCATTACATGAAGTAGTACACACAACCGAATCAGCAGCAACAAAATTTGAAGCACTGTACAAGTATTGACAGTTGGTGTGGTTGTAAAAAAAATAGTTGTAAAATGATACTTTAAATATATGTAATGCCAGCTTCCTCAAGCACGGATTCTTGACAACCTGGTTTGAATTATAAATCATTTAGATGCCTTAAGAAGAAAAGGAAATAAGGAAGACATCAAAGCAAAAGGTTTACCAATCCCCTTTGTATTTCCTTCCAAAGCTCTATTTCAGCTCTTAAATCAAATTCTTTACAAATACTACCTCCCTCTGTTTAAAAGTGATGTATCCCGTGGCTAATTATTACTATCGGGAATATATTCAAAATATAACAATGAACAGGAAGTCTAACATGAAAATAGGGGATAATAGTCAATATTCGTCGTCATGAATGTAGCTTGATGTATCTTTAGAAGTCTAACATGAAAATAGGGGATAATAGTCAATATTCGTCGTCATGAATGTAGCTTGATGTATCTTTCAACAAAACCACTTTTAGCTAAAAAATACAGTCAATATTCGTCGTCATGAATGTAGCTTGATGTATCTTTCAACAAAACCACTTTTAGCTAAAAAATACTGTATTGTTAATTACATGCTTACAATTGGGAAAACACAAAAAATGTAAATTTGGATGAATTACATGTGATTCAACAAATAATATCAATAGAAATCATCAAAACAGCCTATCATTAACCACTTCATAGTACATGACTAATACTTGTTTCTGCATGCAGTATAATATAAGTATCTGATTATAGACATATTAATGTATAAAACAGATACTTGAATTCTATTTATTCCTCGAATTCTAACAAATACAATTTTCCAGACTTTTAGTATTTACATTAACTTAACGTTCATGCTAAATGGTTTGCAGCCTTATTTCCGCACCAATTAGTGAAGATGGGCTGAAGCATATGATGATCTGTCATGTAATCTTGGGAAGAACAGAGATGATACTTCCTGGCTACTGACAATCAGGTCCAAATGCTGGAGATTTTGATTCTGGTGTAGATAACCAGCAAGCTCCTTCAAAGTATATTGTCTGGTATCCAGATGTCAAGACACATGTACTGCCTCTTTATGCGGTTACTGTCAAAATGGAACTGAATTTAGGAGGTACATATATCTAATCTTTACTATTATCCTAATGAATTAGTCAGATAGCTTATGATGGTGTTTAATGCTCTATTACTGATAGTTTCCCTCATGTTGTCGACTTTACTAAGTTGGATTTTGAAGAAAGATTACCTTATCTATATTAGCCCATGTATGAGGTACACAACTGATTCAAGTGGTTTAGAGGTTCATTTTGTTCCAAGCATCGAGCTCCATGCCTGTGCTCTTCAAATTTCTTTTCTAAACAAAAAGCTCTTATGATAGAGTACAAAGAAAGAAAATGTGTAACAAAGATACTGGTTTTTTAGTTTTGCACAAACTTGAAGAGATTTTTGAGCTTGTGCACAGGTATCAGGCTCTTTAAATTTTTTTTTGGTTTCTTGTCACTTGGTTAACATCACTCATAGATGACCGATATTAGATTTGATTACCAGTCATATGGAAAAGTTAGTAAATTCGTTGTTGGGGTTCAATAAATTTTATGTTCTCAGCTCTGAGCATTGCACTGTTTATAGTTTTATTTTGTTTTGTAGATTGCGGGGGAGGGAGGGGGAATAATTATTTGAGGAGGAATCTGACTGCAGTTTATTGTTAGTTTGGTTTATGGTGATAATTCAGCTATAAGTTTGAGTTAAAACGTAACGAAGCAATAGAGCATGTTTCTCTGATTTCAAAGACACTGATTACTTTTTAGCCGAAGGATGTCCGTTTAATTTGCATTATTTATGTATTTATCTTCATCAATGTTTCAGCAATGGCCAGAGATATATTTACATGGGATCCCATGACAAGCATGTTTATATTTATGATGTGGTATGTACTTCTGTACTTTGTTAAATTAATGAAAGGAAGTGAGAGTTATGTTAATATTTTGAAGATAAATTATATATTTCATTTTGTACTACAAATTCTTACATATAATGCGAGGAACACTTACATATAATGCGAGGAACACAAGGTGCTCTAATTGTAGCTTCAACACTTCAGACTTCAGTGGCCTTTGGCTTAATGTCACTAGGTTAGTTATGAATCTCTACCATGCATTCCATTTATACCAACCTACAATTTTTTTGTTTATAGACATTTATTTATTTGTTTATTTTTCTACAATTCAGATTTGTGAGTCAACTATCAGCAGTTCCTTTAGTTGCCTTATCCGGATTTGGCCTCTATGAGTTAGGCTTTCTCAGTGTAAGCATCATTTTGTTTTTCGAAACTTTTTTTTTCTATTTGCAGACTTGTCATTGTTGTTCACAAGTTTGTGCTGTGAACCTTTTGAGATTGTTTATTGTATAATTTACATAAGATGTAGTAGAAGATCTGTTACAGTTGGCTGATACTTTTGTTTGCCCAGGTTGCCAAGTGTATTGAGATTGAGCTTCCACATATAATTCTGTTGATAATCTTTTCCCAGGTATTGAAATGTTGTAAATTTCGTTGGACTACCAAAAATTCACACTATGATTCACTAAACGTAGTTAGTATCTTTTATTATAAAATTTTAATACTAAAAACTAATATTGACACAATATGTTTTGGTTTTCTTTTGGGTTAATTGTGGATAGACACCTTGTACCATTGCCCAATTGCGCATAGATCCCCTGTAGATCTATTATTGGAGATAGGCCCTCAGAGTGACTTTTTTACTCTTTTACCACCAAAAAAGGAGGAAATTATTATTTTTTGGACAATTATGCCTCCTGAGGGTAAAAACGAATTCACTCAGGGGTCTAATCACAGTTCAGTGATAGTACAAGGGGGTCTATTCTTAACCATACAACTACAATGGGGTCTGTGTGCAATTGGGTGATGACACTGGAGGCCAATCTGCAATTAAGAACTGATGTGGGTTTAAGAAGTTAGCCAGTTCAAATTGTGGGTAAGGAAACATTACCCAGTTGTTAAGCTTCATAGAATATCAACGTGATGATATATGAGAATGTTATGAGATGATGTTTGGCATTTGTTTATCTTGACACTATTTCAGGTGACTGGAAACCAAGTTGCAAAAATCACCTTTCATAACGCTGTGATTAGAGTCTGTAGCTGGCATCCATACTATCATATGCTTGTGAGCTATTCTTGGGATTGTCAAATTGCTAGATGGCAATTCTAGGGTTCTGATGCAATTCCTTCTGTTATTGACAATAAACGCCATCGAAGGCAACAGCCTGAGCAAAGGACACTTCCCTGATGCTTTGCGCTCTTCCTCGAGTTTCTGTTTGTTATTTATAATATCTCTTGGCATTTATAATTTCTCATGACATGGTGTAAATTCTTTGATCAGAAGAGAAACTGACAAAGGGGATCAACGTCATGTATTGCGAGATCTTTATCATCTATACTACCCTAGCTGATGAGACCTCAATTCCTTTGTAAAGAATATTTAAGTATGATTATGGTGTAAATATTTGTATGCATCTTCTCTATGATTATGGTGTAAATATTTGTATGCAACTTCTCGGTGCAGTCAGAGTACATTGCCTTGTAAATAGATTAAAACAATGTAAGAAACCTGAGAAGCCAAATCATATTTCTTGCTTTTTGTTATGCTACTGAAATCATATTGTCAAAATAATTCTACCTCTAGGTTTTCCTTCAGGATATCTGATTGGTTCATGCAGACAAATTAAAGTCTTTTTTGATTCAGGAGAGAAGTATTATATCAGAGGTTGCATTCATTTTGATATATGAAACTCTTAGAAGCATGTGTTATATACTGCAACTTCCAGTCTACTCATTGAACAAATCTGAATGTTAAGAGTTTGCTTTTCATTCCCATGTGATGCAATGTGGGCCAAATCATGAGAAAAAACACTGCACATCTTCAGCTCTGTGCAATGATCAACCACATGAACATTTACCGTCTCCTCATGTCAAATTTTTATAACCATGTTATAATAAATAAAAAAATTACCACGTGCCTTGCACGTGTATCAAAACTAGTTATATATAAAAAAAAGACCTTGACCCTCGTATCCTGAAACCCCTTTGCCAAACGGCACTCGTATTTAATTGTGTTGGGCCCCACGAGACGAGCGAAAATGGCACTCTAAAAACTCTACATAAGCGGAGGGCAGAAGCTCAGCGGGGGCGATTTTTGCGGCCGCCCCTCGTCTCAAAAACACGAATCTTGATGCAAAGGCTAGACGGGAGAGAGAGCCTCAGCAGGCTCATCGGCAAGAAGAGGAAGAGGACCCTCTCTTCCCCTCTCTCTCTCCTCCTCCAATCCAAATCCAAACCCAATCCCAAAGTAAGCGCTCTCTCTCTCTCTCTCTCTCTCTCTTTCTACTCCTCGTTTTCTCTCTCTCTACCTTTTTCCAATATTTTTTTCCTTCTCTGTTTTAATTAGGAGGAAGAAGAGAAAGAAGCTGAGGTAGAGGCTCCGTCGACGTCCAATGACGGAAAAATCAAAGGAAATGATGATCCTGTGTGGGTTTCTTGCCCTGTTTGTGGATCCTCCATTCGAGGGACAGATCACATGGTCAATTCCCATCTGGGTATCTCTCTCTCTTTCGCCGAAATGTTTTGTTTAATTGGTTTTACTTTCTAATTTTAGGATTCATGTTGATTGTGGAGCATCTATAATATAGGCTAGTTAGTGAGGGGGAAAGGTAAATGATGAAAGATTAGGTCAAAGCTTGCGCCTTTCGTCAATGTGTCTCCTCTTATTTTGTTTTTGCTGTCATCAGGGAGGGGGGGGGAAGCTGCTTGTTTTGTATAAGGGCATGATTGCTGTTGATGTGCATATATTATTAGTGCAATTATATTGACTAACTGGCACGTAAAGGTATTTGAACAATTGTTAACTTCTCACTTAGGGATGATCACTAATTACTTCCTGTCTTGTGTCCTCAGTTGAAAATGTCTTTATTTCCTAAGCCCCAATGTTAGATTCAGTTGTATTTTTTTTTTTGAGAGCATGAACTTATTAAGTATAGAAAGATAAGGCGCGTGAATCAATTGAAAGAATTAGCTGCATGTGGAGAGAGATCAGAGGCTTGAGAGCTTGAACTTTGAATACATTCACTTCTAATATTGAGGGAGTTGTGAGTTGTGGGAATGAAAATAGTTAAGGATTATTATGGGTGTGAGTTGGAGTGAAGAAGAAGTGAGGGGTTTAGGGGATATTTATAGGAAAAATGGGTGGGGATGGGGAGTGTTTGAAAAGTATTAAACAAAAGAATCAGCCCATTTTCTGGCTAGCTCGGTTTAATTTCCATTCCAGTGGGGATGGGGAGTGCTTAAAAAGTATTAAACAAAAGAATCAGCCCATTTTCTGGCTAGCTCGGTTTAATTTCCATCCCAACTTTGATACATTTTTTATTTATAATTGTATTGTTCTGTTTTCTTGTAACAATCTACCATAAGTTTTGCTCAAAGATTTTAAATCTTTTGTTTATACTTGATTTGCAGACATCTGCCTAACAAGGGGAGCTAAAAAAAAGTTAACTCAGCGTACCCTTCTTCAATTAAAATTTTGTCCCATATCCGCGAGTAAAACCTCTGCAGGGGTCTTAGATAATACCAGAGCAGCTATAAGAGAAGGCGAATTGGTTGGTGGAAAAGAAATATCTGATTCTGAAATGACAATTGAAAGAATTCTTTCTGAAAATAATGAGAAAATTGAACATGCATCAGGTGCACAAGATGTGAGCAAATTAACAAAATGTATTGATGTTCAAATGGAAATAAAAACTGTTGAAAACACAGCTAATGAAAATATTGTCCCGCAAAGCACCATGGTACCTAAGGTTGATACGTTTGGAGTTGAAGATTCTAAAGTTTTAGCAGCATTTGAAACCTTTATCGTCGGTCGTAAGTTTCATGATAATATTCAGCTTCAACAAGGTTGTCAACTATTTCTTTCAAGAGACCCTCAAAATGCCAAGGATAAGCATGCTATCAAGGTTCAGTTTGGTTTTTTCTTGTGTTTTCTTAGATTGTATTATTCAGTTAAAAACAGAGATTATTCTCGCGTGTAGGTGCTTTCTACTGATTTAGGAGCTGGAAATATGCTTGGATATTTACCTCGAGAATTGGCTAAGTTTCTATCTCCCTTAATGGATAACCATCATTTAAAATGCGAGGTATAACATATGTGATTAAAAATTTCTTCATTGTTTTCTTTATGAATGAAGTGCTTCATGTTGATTTAGAAGTATATATAATGAGATTTAAACCCAATGTGACAAACTGACATAATATGGGACATCTTTTAGCTAGTTTCTTAAGTATATAGGGAACATAAGTATCTTCTTTTTCCCGGAACAAAGTGCCGTAAATATTTTCTGTTAACTATCTCTCCAATACGGAGTGACTATGGAAAACTGCTTCACACTTTTGTTTTCTTCCTTTTCCTTCTTGTCTTTTTTCTTGAAGTTCTCGTATTAATATGTTTTACAAAATATCTCGAGCTTTAATCTTTCTTATGTATTCTTTAATGGTGCAAAATCCTTATTTCTTATCTTATAATATTATCTAATTATTGAATTTCCTTGCAGGGATCTGTGATCTCTATTTCTGAACATCCTCTTGATCCTGTTCCCATTCAACTTGTTTGTGAGAAAATGGTTGCTTCTGGTAAAGGGGAACATGATGGCCAACAGAATTTTGAGTTCTTATGGGAAAATGTGAAACGTGTTACCGAATATGGCAAACTAAATCCTCCTAGCATGACAAAATACCAACAAAATTTCTGTTTAATGATTGAAGAAGTTGTAAATAATCATACTCACCTTTTTACGAGTGAAGAAAAGTTGCTTTTAGGTATTTGGCTGACTTTTTTTCTAATCAATATGTTTATCTTAGTGTTCTGACTTTTTTGATATGCTTTCTTATATTATATTATCACAGGATCTTTTGACTCATTAAGCAACAATGCTCAGAGACTCTTTGTTCGAATATATACGAGAAAAGGTACATAATTCTCTTGATTTTTATGCAAAGTTTACAAACACTATGGTTATATGGTCTCAGATGTATCAAGTCGATGCGTTTGGAGTCAATCAGTCGAATTCTCTCTTTCTGTAAACTATTGGGATGAACTCTAAGATGAAAAGGAAAAAAATTTCTCTGGACATACTGAAGAATTTCTTAAGAAGCGGAGGGAGGGTGGAATTTTTTTTTTTTTTTGGGGGGCGCAGAAAGGAGGAGGAAGAAGAAAATCATTCGATATTGCTTGGTCGATTGGCTTAGACACTGAATAACATTTCCTTTGGGGAGTGACTCTGGTTTGATTAGTAGTGGGTGCCGAAGTTATTGAGCCAAAAAAAAAGAGGCAGAACTTAACTAAGGATCTTACTGTAGGTTTATGTTTATCAGGCTTTCCAATTCTTAGTTTCCCACTTATTAACTAATGACAATATGTAGTACAGATATTCTTATATTTTGCTTACAGCTAATATTCAGTCAATTTCTGGTATCAGAAAACTCATGCATCTAACTTTGGTGGGAGATATTTGTAGAGCTTTAGAGTGAGGTAGGGAGATCTTGATGTGATGAAATGTAAGTGGGAAGATGTTTACATGTCATTTGATGCAAAATGGAACTCTTAGCCTTTATTGTGTCAGTAAAAAAATGCAATATTTAAGAATTCATATTTTTCCATGGTTGTTCTTTCATATCAATTGTACGAGATTTAGGAATGGAGCACTTGAAATTGAATAGACTCTTGTCAGATAGCTATACCACTTTATGACATTCTAGAATTAATCATCAAAATTACTTTTGATAAGAAAGCATTCTAATGCGAGGAAAACTACAAGGTTTTCCACATTGGATTTGTCAAGCAGGCAACTTGGCTTAAAATTCTAAACTAGGTATTCAAGCACGATTTTTATTTCTACTACTGTTACTATAAATAAAGAGCCAAGTTTTTAATCTTACTAAGACATGCATCATTCGTGTCATCTATTTCTAGGGATTGTGAAGAAATGACAACAAATGTTAGAATTAAAGTCTAATAATATTGCATTTGGATAATGAGAGGCAATCGGGGAGAATTCTATTGTATTTAAATGCAAAACTGAGCCTAATAATGCTCAAAATCAAAGTAAATTCCAAATGCAACTTATTTCTTTCAATGTCAGTTTCCTGTGATGTTTGGATTTCTTCTACACCTAATGTAAATACATTATGTTTAGATTGCATCTGCAGCTCAACTTTTGTTATCTCACGATTATTTATCATGACACCAGTATTCCCATTGCTTGCGTTTTGCATCAGACAACCTCCCACATTGAGGTTTATAGTAATTATCTTGTCAGGTTTATGCCCTTCCTATCAATGTGAAAGAAAAACAATCATTCCCACAAATTATCAAGCTCAGAACCTTCATAATCCTTATCATGTATGAGACATTACATTCTGGAAGCTAGAATCATATTTGTTATTGTGCATCATGTATGAGACATTACATTCTGAAATTAATTTCCTGTAAGACTGTATTGCCAACATATTTCTTATTGTGCATCATATTTGTTCAAATGTTAAATTAAAAACATGTAATTAGAGCGAAGATGATAAATGCAAACATGTAATTAGAGTGTAAGAAAAACAAAGGAATGTTAGTAAATTTTTTTGTCATTTTACCTTAAACTTATGAACTATGTGGTAAAATGCAAACATGTAGTTTGAGTGTAAATTAAATTACCTCCTAGCACTGTGCTTACTTTTATATATACATAATCTATTTATGTATGAATTTTGTTCAAGAATGATATGTGTAATTTGTGATATTACAGTATCATTTGTAAAATCTGAGAACTTAAAATTAAGTAATATTAGGGTTTTGGAGCATTATACCTAGCTTCTAGAGACTCCGGTTTCTCAAAAAAAATAAAATTTGGAGCAAATTGAAATGGAATTGATTAACAATATAATAACCAATCAAACATCATAATCAATCAGACTCAACCTAATACCATAAATTCAATATAATCTTCCAATTTTGCACTTTAACTTGAAAACTACAGAAGTTACAAGATTTCACAAAAAAGTCTAAGGAGCATTTCATCAAACACTTGGAAAGTAAAACCTAATTGAAGATCATGTGGGCGGATTTTGATACCTTTCAAGTGTTGGTGAACTCGACAATGGCTTGGCTTCCTCTCTTAGATCAAAATAGACCTCTGATTTTTCTAAAAAAAGTAAAAAATGATGAAAGGTACAGAGAGATTAAGGTTACCTCGATGAGTTTTAGGAGGCGGCGGCCACGGTGGTGGCGCGGTAGGATGCCGGCAGCGGGGAAGAAGGAGATCTGAGGGAGGTCGAGGGCGAGAGATCCGAGAGAATGACGAGAGAGAGCTCAAGGAGATTTGAGAGAGAGAGAGAGAGAGAGAGAGAGAGAGAGGATGGAGTCGCGATGGAGTCGGGAATTTTGAAGGAGGCGATTTTCTCTCCTTCTCTCTCATTTTCACTCCGATCAAGTGAGGAAAGGGGAAAAGAACTGGCTATATGGGTGTTTTTCTACAGTGATTTTAAGATTCATTTTCTTTTTTGTTTTCTTCCAAACCAAACAAAGAAAAATTACTTTCTTTTGCACTTTCTTTTCCTTTCTTCTATTTCCCTTCAAACCAAACAGAGCCTTTATGTTTAATATCATTTCGTCCAGAGTAAACATCGGAGTTGTTTTCTCTGTATTATCCATGGCAATAGAACTAGTGGATAGTTGCTTTTTGTCCTTTACAAATCCCTTTCCAGGACAATCCGCGTCTATTTTTATAGTTGAGTCCCTCAACTCTAGGCTACTGATAATGATACATCTTTAACTTCCAAAAACTTTAGAATAACCCTTTAAAGTTCACTGCCTTGCTATTTATTGGCTAGAATATTTGGTGTATTGTACTTTATTTTTATTTTATTTTTTTCCCAGTACAAATATGCTCATCAGCAGGGTACCTAGTATCTTGCAAAAGACTAGTACCTTTTTTATTCCGGTGGCGGGAAAATTGTAGGAGATGACTGTTTGTGGGAAATTTTGCAGTAAAAGAAATAAAGAAAAATTGATTTGTATTCCTTTAATCTCAGTTACAATTGGATTTCATGATTACAAAAGAGAGGAGAATGATCTGGATTCTCCCCTTTGTTTAAATCTGGGTTCTTCACGGTGGCGATGAGATGCCTCCCTCGATTGCTCGCGTCGAGTTTGCTCTCCGTTGACGATCTGGTGTCTTGTTTCACTGGAACGTGGTCTTCTCCTCACGATTTGACGTTGTGGAGAACTCTGAACGAGTTTAAAACTCTATGAAAGAGTTGATTTAACCGAAAGTCGGTTATAAGCCAAGGATGAAGAAGATCTTGCTGCCGATCTCCAAAGCTCCAGAAATGCTCTAAGGATCCTGTTGACTAGCCAAGAAGTTCCAACAAACCGCCCCTG